TCCTCCTCCCCCCACGTGCTGCCCTCGCGCCGCGAGGCAACAAACATCTAACTATCAGCATCGCTCGCGACTGGAGGCTCTTTCTGGCCCGTCTCTGCTCATCTGGGGGCCTTCCTCTCCGGGCCCTGGCACCGCCGACACATATGTAGGACGGGCTCGGTGCGAAAGCCGGGTCTCCCCGGGCAGGGGCCCCGACGTCGCGAGAGCCGTGTCACAGCACTGTGTGCTCACAAGATGCAGTCAACCCGCGCAGTAAGGATGGGCACCCTCCCGAGGGTTCCTTCGCATCCTTGCCTCTTGGGCCTGTCCTCAGCGACTGTCGCTGGCCAACCTCGCTCGAACGACGTTCACATGGGCCTCCAAGGCCCCTGCATCCTTACCGCACATTCGTATGATTCGGGTGGACTGTATCGTCCTGAAAAGCTCAGCGCTGCTCCCGGGCAGGCTTTGCTGCCCGGGCTGGAGGAGTTGCCTCCTCTGTGGTCTGAGCTGGAGGAACCCTGCGTTTGGCGGCGCGCACACAGGGGGGTAGGGGGGCGGGGAGAGGCTCCTTAGAAGCACCCCTGCCCCCAATGTGCGGGCCGCCAAGGTGCGCAGTTAGGTCGCAGTGTAAGGATGAGCAACTTTCCAAGGTTACCCTTGCGTCCTTGCACCTTTCGGCCCATCCTTGGCAACTTTCGCTGGCCAGCCCCATGCGGAAAACTTCAACATGGTCTTCCAAGGCCCTTGCATCCTTACCGCGCGTCCTGATCATGCGAATTGACTGTGCTCAGGCAAAGACAGGATCATCTGATCCTGTGAGTTGCTGGCCTGCTCTTCCTCATCTCGTCTCCGAAGCCATATGGAGGTTCAACCTCTCGGTCGGCGCCGAAGCGCAGCCGCCCAGCCCCTCGTACAGGGCCGTCCCGTGGGAAGCGTAATTAGGCGCCGTGTCCGCCTCCGTGCCCTCCGTTGAAAGGTATCCGCTTTTCTGGATTCAGGATATCAGGAACGAGCCAGATAGATATTCATGTGTTCGGGCCATGGCTGGGGGGGGCCTCAAACGGTGCATGTGACCACACGGTATTGTGAGTCTGTGGGGATTCGGGATGACCGCCCTGCTTTGGGACTTGGGTCGTTCTCCGAGGATGTCTCGGGCGACAGGGGCTAGTCAGTCGCACAATACGCTTTGAGGGACATTCGTATCAGTCGTCATCTAATTTTCTCCTGCCTCCCTCGTCCTGCTGTCTGCTGTCGTTGTTCCTCCTTCTCCTCCTCCTCCTTTGCGTCTGTTGCAGGATTATATAAGTTGCTGGCAGAGCCATCGGGCATGCCCACACAACTCCGTTGTCCTTCCTCTCTTCTGCTCCCTCTCCTCTTCCTTCTCTCCCATGACTTGTGCTTTCAGTGGTGGAGTCCCTTTTCCCTCTGTGGGAAAGCTGGCACTTTTCAGCATCACTGCTGTGATCCACGGAACAGCAGATGTCTCAGGCAACTGGGGACCCGAAGGTTCCAGAACCGTACGGTGACGCGTGCCGTGCGATCCTCTGGGATCTCGAGGTCACCGCACAGTTTGTCACCACACCGTCTTGTGAGCCTTGACAGGGGGGGGGGAAGCATGTACATCCCTACAGCAGGCCCAGAACCCCGAAAGTCCATCAAGAGGAGGAGGAGGAGGAGGAGGAGGAGGCGGTGATGATGATAGATTAGCACGAAAAAAATACGCACCCCTGGGCCACGCGCACGCGGCAAGCGGCGCCCACTGCCGCCGACTCTGGCCACGCGGGGGCTCCGGCCCCCGCCCGCGCTCAAGGGCCCTCCAGCTGGCCCACACACCTCCGCTCCGCTCCGCTGCGCCCCCCCCTCGATCGCCAAGGATAGGGGAACCGAGAATGACACCGGAGGCACTGCCAGGGGGGTGAGCGCGGATCCGAGAAATCCGCGCGGACCTCCAAGTCCTAATGCGTATGCCATTCTTGGTTCCCCTAAGGAAGCGCGCGCAGAGCTCCCGAAGCGTGGGGGGGAGCGGCGGGTCCCGCTTTGCCGTGTAGGATATCGGCGCGTTTCTGGCGCCGGAGCAGGCGGCCTCGGGGAGCGCTTCCTTGGCGTCCGCGGGCGACAGAGGCCGTTCCCGGGGGAGGAAGGGGGAAGGGCCCTGACCTTCCAGGAACACCCTCAAAAATAGCACCAGGACGTCGACGTCCAAATTCCCGTCGAGGTTTTAGGCAGTCCAGATAAATAGGTCCCATAGGTCTGGAGGGCTATCATTTGGCACTCTGGGAGGTCAAGTGGGGGCAGGGGGCTGGTGACGTCACGTTTCGCGCCGGCGGCGTCTGGGCACGTCTATAGGAGGGGCAACCAAAGACAGCTCGGAGTCACAGCACGAGTCTTGGCGTTACTGGGGGGCCGGAGGGGGGCGGCCGGGGCTGGTATAACGGCCGTCCTCGTGAAACATACACGATGTTCTCGTGGCCGCTCGTGTTTTTGGGGCGCCTTCCTCGATCTGTGGAGCTGGCGCCCACAGGCCAGCTCCACGTGTCCGGCGGCGTGATCCCCGGAGGTCTGGGCCCCTTCGCGAGCACCCGTGTTTCACCCCGAGTCGTTTCTTGACGGTCCGGGGGCCCAGCGAGGGCCCCTGTAGGCAGACAAAGGGACAGCACTGTCCATCGTGATCTTCTTAGCAGGGAGCGAAGGTGGGGGTCTCCCTCCTTGTCCCGTGCATCCTCCGACGCGCTTGTGTTTTTGGCCCGAGGGGGTGATTCTGAGCCCTGCGATGCGGGGCCACCAGGCTCGCGGCAGGTGCCCTGCGCCGTCTGACGCTGATCTTGGACTTGTGAGTGCAGCGCCAGCACAGTGTTTGCCTTGCGCAGCAGGCGATACCAACACACACACACACACACCAACACAACACAACACAACACGACACGACACGACACGAGACAAGACAAGACAAGACAGGACAAGACAAGACAAGACAAGACATGACAATACAAGACAAGACAATACAACACAACACAACACACAACACAACACAACACAACACAACTCAATCCAACACACAGCACACTCGACACACACACACACACACTGAACGCACACACACACACAACACACACAACACACACACAACGCACACAACCAACACACACACAACATGCACAACACACAACACACACACACAACGAAACCGACACCGACACCGACACCGACACCGACACCGACACACGCACATACACACATACATGCACACATACACACGTACACACACCTACACATACCTGCGCGCGCGAACGATATGCATGTATCTGATAGCTTATGTGTATACGTGTGCAGAGATCATCTGTATGTATACCGCCGTCCGTATTGTTCGAGTCACAAAGGCTTTGTGCTGGAACGGCGGCCATGGCCAACAGAGGGCCACACAAGCCCTGTCGGGCTTCCAAGGGCTCCCCCCCGAGGGCTCCTGAGAGGGGTCGCACAACATGCCCGCCAACACGGGTGCGTAACTGCCGCGAGTTGGTAACGCTACAGGATGGACACGTGACACGGCCATCTATGCATTTATGTGTGCATACACATCGCGATATGCACTTAAATTGAGATGCAGTTATAGAGGGACAGAAGGAGAGAGAGAGAGAGAGAGACAGAGAGAGGCGCCGCGCCAGACCACGCTTTATTGTAGTAGTGCCGCTTCGGCTGTCAGTTGCGCCGTGCCTTTTTTATGTCCGATCGCGCAGGGCATTCCCTGCTCCGCCCTGCGAGCGCACGTGCTCCTAGCTCTTCTTCGCCGTTGTCCGTGACGTTGGCGCAAGGGTGGGGTGCGCGGTGGTATGCACATCGCGGTCGGTGCAGGTCGCAGTTGCACGGGGGGGGGAGTGAGGAGGTGGATGAGGAGGAGGAGGAGGAGAAGGTGTCAGAGGAGGAGGAAGAAGAGCTGGAGGAGGAGGAGGAGGAGGAGGAGGAGGAGGAGGAGAGTGAGAAGGAGGAGGGGAAGGAGGGGCGAGAGGAGAAGGATGAGGAGGAGGTGAAGGAAAATAATGATGATGATGCTGATGAGGAGGAGCAGGATGATAAGAACGGTGGACCAATGTAAACCCAAGATGCATAAACGATGTTGCAATCAACCCTTCCTCCAAGTTCCCTCTTTGTAGACCCCATAGAAGGATTCATTTTCACTGGGGGGAGTGCCCCGTTGGAAGGCATGCGTTTGAACATCCAGAACTTTGCTGTAACACCACTCTTGGGACTTAAACGCCGCGAATCACCTAGACGATCCCAGATCGTGCCACAACACCATTCCCAGGACTTCAGCACCGCGAATCAATGTGATTGTTGCGCCCTGACGTCCCGACATTGTGCCCAAACGCATCTTCTGGGGCGTTGGCCATGGGAACATTTGAACCTGCTGCAAGCTCTCACGACGAGTGTGCGCGGCGCTACGCCGGGAGCCACATGCTGAAAAGGAACCGCCCTCCATCCATGAAGCCCTTGCAAAATTTGAAGGCACGCGTGCGCGGCGCTAAGGCGAGTGCCACATTCTGAAAGCGGGCCGCCTTTCATCCGTAAAGCTCTGACAATGTTTTGAGGACGAGTGTGCGCGGCGCTAAGGCGAGAGCCGCATGTTGTAAGCAGGTTGCCTTCCATCCGTGGAGCCCTTGCATTTGTTAACACGAATTCGGATGGCGCTACGGCCAGAGCCACATTCGAAAGCGCGCCGCCCTCCAACCGTGAAGACCCGAATGTGCTTGGCTCTATACCGGGAGCCACATTTCGAAAGTAGGCTGCCCTCCCTGCATATGTGCGGCGCTGAGGCGAGAGCCACATTTTTGAAACAGGTCGCCCTCCACCCGTGAAACTGCTGAAAATTTCAAGTTTCAGGGCCAGGAGTGATGAGAAAGTGTAGGGCGAAACGCCCCGCCCGCCCTTTCGACCAACCTCGGGGTGTGACACGGAGGAGTTATTTAGAAGGAAGAGGGATTGAGGTTGAGGGGGGGGGGAACAGCCGCCCCGCCCTGCCCAAGGAGCTGGGGCACCTTTCGCAGATCATAAAGCAGCAGGAGGCGGCCACCAGGCACCAGGAGGCGGCCAGAAAGGATGCCCCCCATTATCTCAGTCGTCACGTTTCGCTTTGAAGTCGCCTTCCGCATGTTTGTCTGTCTTCCTGCCTTTCCCCGAGTGCCCACTGCTCCATTCGCTCTCCACCGCCTCCCCCATCTCCGAGTCAGACCTCCAGATGGTAAGCCTACGACATAGGCCTGGCGGCTACGTGCTTCTTGCGTGCCGACTGAAGCTGGCCCGATCTACCCGTTCTCGGAGAGCTAGAACATTTTCCGGTAGGTTTCGTGATGATGCGGGGCGCCTGGGACCTGTGTTGCTGTGAGACGCCCATCCGCAACTATCTCTCCAGCAGCGTTGAAGGGATATCGGATTGCCAGACAAACCAGACCAAGAGTTGCGACCAGCATTTGTTTCTAATGCTCTAGCTTTCGCGGCATCGGGCCGCTCGTCAAGATCTTGAGGAAAGAAGGTTGCGGCCGCAAGATGCATTATGCGATGTTTATCTTGTTCACGTGTCAAACCCTCTCGAAGCCATCATACAACAAGAGCAGCCTTGGGGCTCGACGTGAGGAACGTATGTCGTTGGTTCTCCCGATAGAGATGAGTTGTGTTTTGGAGGCGAGCTGAAGACAGGCTGATCGAAGACGCCTACGGCGAAACACCGCCGCCCCCTGCCTTCTGAAAACGCCTGCGTAGTGACATGTCGAGCGAAAGTGCGGCCGTGCTAGTGGAGTGCGTGTTATCCCAGCCGTATGGGAAACTACAGGGGAAACACTAAGGGGAGGGCCCATCCTGGGCTGTCTTCGGGCTGTCTTGGACTTTCGTTTGAAAAGTTGTGGGGGCCTCTCGGGCCTTCTAGGGCTCTCTTGGGCCATCTCAGGGCCTTCTTGGCAGTCTCAGGGCGCTCTTGGGCCGTCTGGCACCTTCCAATGCCTCCTCTGGGGCCTCTCTGGGCCGTTTTGGATATGTCCATGTGTTGCTGTTTAGGGCCGCCTTGGGGCTCTATTGGGCCGTCCTGGGGCCCTCTTGAGTCCTCTCAGGGATGTTGGGCGGTCTTGGCCCAGCCGTGGGTGCTTCCTGGGCCGTCTTGGACGTTCGCAAGACCAAGGCGGCGAGAATAAGAAACCCTTCAAAGACGCAAGGACCAACAGTTCAGTATGCCTCTTGAACCTGTGCAGGGATCCACGTGGAGCCTTTGTGGACGTTCTTGGAGGCCTCTTGGGCCGTCTTCAGGCCATCCTGGGCCGTCTTCGAGCCCTTTTGGCTCGTTTTGGAAACATCTTGAGCTTTCTTGGAGGTTACCAGGCACTGCCATGGAGGTCATCTTGAGATCCATGTTCCGCCATCTTGACCATCTCGGAGACGATGTTTCCGGCTGTTGTGGTCGTGACTTCTCGTTTTTTTTTTGGGGGGGGAAAAAAAAAGGGTATCGCACTAAGCAAACCCTCCAAGGTGGCCCAGAAGTCCGTGGTGGAATTGTGTTTGGGACAATGTTTCCGCCTACTATCATGACCATGCGAAAACCCGAATTTCAAAGACGATATTGGGCCATTGCGGGCAGTCTTGGCAGAGGGCCTCGCGGAAGTCCTTGGGGCTGTCGAGGTGGCTTCGGGTGCCATGGTGCGGTGCGCGTCGTAATGTCTCGTGAACGCGTGGCTAAGAAGTCTGGGTTCTCTTAGGGCTATGTATATTTGGCCATGCTCGGTCTTCCTGGGCAGCCGTGCGCACTCTTGGGACAACCTGAATCCCTCTTACGGCCCGCCTCGGGCGCGCGCGGCAGTGAGTTCCTGGCGGCGTCTGATGGAGGGATGGCTCCCGCGGTTTCAGCGCGGGGTTGGGGCAGCGTGTGCCCCCTGTCTCCCGCATACCGCCAGATAGGGCAAAGATCAATAGGGTGGTACGTCCTCGTCTTCGCTGTTCCCTGAGATCCCACGTCGCGAACAAAATCAACATCGGAGAACGCTTGACTGGAGCCCTGACGCCAGATTTCTGCTGCACCTTCCGAGCTGGATGGGTCCGTGCGGCTCCCGGGGCCCGGAGCGAGGCAAAGTCGCCCGTTGTGAAACATTGCAGCGCCAGGATCTCAGATCCCAGATTTCCGACGTCGTGATTTTTTTTGCACCGTCGGCCCCAGAGGTCTGGACCCTTTCTCGAGGATCGGTCTTTCATCCTGAGCCGTTTCCTTACAGTCCTGAGGCCCAGCGAGGGCCGCTGGAGGCCGAAATTAGCAAAAAGCCTCCCGTCGTGATTCTGTCTCACAGCGAGGGGAGGTCTGGGAGTTGTGCTCCCCCGAGCCCATCCCCATCAGATCTGCTCCATCTTCCGCCTGCCGGCGTGCGCCCGAGGAGCCCCAGTGGCCCCCGCCGCAGCCGACGCGGTCTGCGCATCCGCCCGTGCGGCCCACGCAGTCGCCCGCGCTGGCGGGGCTGTCTGGGAAGGCCGGCTCCCAGGCCAGGCCGCCAGAGCACCACTACCAGCAGTACGGCTCGCAGGGCTCGGGGCACCACGGTCGACCTTGGGCGGGGGGCACGCCTGCGTCCGCTTGCAGTCGGCGCGCACTGGCAGGTCGACCCTGCAACATCAAGGGTGCTCTTGTGTCCTGTCCATCCCTTCTCATGTCCTCTGCGTGTTTGGACCAAGGGTGCCCTTGTGTCCTGCCATGCTACCGTCGGAAGAGTCTCGTTTCCTGTGGCGTGTCCTCTCGTATGCGCTCCGACACCTCCTCCTCTCCTGAGGTCCAGGCGCTGCAATTTTCTTTGACACCGGCGTCTTCGTTCGGTTTCGGGCCGAGGGGCCATCACAGATCGGTGGGGCTCGAAGAATGCCGCAGAACGATTTGGCCTAGGGCTCAGGTCGTGAGTTGTCGCGATTCTGTATTTTTCTCAACGTCGGATCTGACGGGCCTTCCGCTCCTACCACTGTGCTGTATTCCTAGGAGGGATGTCGTGACTCCATGTTGGGCTGTCTTGGAGGCTTCTTGTGTCATCTTGGCGGTCTTAGTTGCCTGCCTCTGTCTCCCTGGAAGAAGCTCGGGAGCGCGGGTCCATTGTTTATTACCACGGGTGTGCCCCACTAGAAGATTACATACCCTACCCGACATCACTTGGCATTGTACTACGCCTCAGCGTGCTAGGGGGCACCGTGGCGGATGAAGAGCTTGGAGTCCTCCTGAGCTCAAAGTCATCGTCAAGTCCAGAGTGCGAGTTCATGTTCCACCCACCCCCACCCACAACGACTTTGGTAAACTCGGTTGGCGTAGTGGCGCGAAGACCCTTCCCATGCAGATCCGTGACTCGGTTAGGCGAGTGCTACTGCTTATTCTGACGGTGGCGCTGACCACGATGGCCACGCCAACGACGACGACGATGAGGATGTTTATAACGACGGGGGGCGATGACGACGACGATGGTGATGATGATTCAGATGATGGTGATGGTGATGATGACGATGGCAGTTGTGACGCTGGCGATGATGGAATGGATGGCGCTGGTGAGGATGATGAGAAAGTGCGCGCGCAGGAATTCCGAATTTTGGGTAGGAGCATTAGTTGACAGAGTTGGCTTGCGCGCGATGATTCTTCATGTGTGTTCAATGGTTTTCGATACACGCGCCCATCATTCGACACAGTGGCCAACAACCAATACCTTTGCCATGATTTCAATAAGTGCGGGTGCGCAGGAAGCTAGCAACGTTCTGCTGAGCAAACATATGTTTCTACGGTTCGAGCACCGCCGGGTTTGAATGATTCTGGCATGCGCGCGTGGGGGCGCGCGCAAGTGGACTGCGTTACTTTATCTATACGGGTTCTGATAACACGCATGTGTTAGATCAACACATGCATGGTAGTATTCGGCAGGAGTGGCGGTTGGGGAAACGACACTGGCCTGGCTGGCGTGGTATGGTTCGACTATCGACAGGCAGCTCCGTGCACATGCAGAAGAAGAAAAACAAAAAAAAACAAAAACGCGATGCGCGCAGCCTTGATGGGGGGTATGCGGTCTAGTTCTTTACGCTTCGCGTACCCCCACAAGTACGACCCGCTCTCTGGAATCGTCCTTGGAGCCGCAGATCAAAAAAATATCCCCACAAGTCCGGCTCGCGCTGCGCCCTGCAGCTAATTAGGTTTGCCCGTCGGCCCGGACACCCTTTCGCCGCCTGCGCTTTTCGCTTGCGGCCGCGACCAAAAAGTATCCACACAAGTTCCGTAGCCACCTGGCTCAAGCCATCTCGGCTCGAGGTTGGTCGACGCGACCTGGTTCTGCCGCCATCGTGCCGCGGCTTGCCATGCCAGAGGATCCGGGCGCCGCGGCTACTGGCTCCGCCGCCACGCGCCGACGCCGCCGCCTTCGGCGCGCCGCTGCCGCGCGCGCGGCTTCCGTTGCCTTGCCGCCGCCTGGCCTTTCCTGGCTCCGCGGCGAGTGCGGCGGTCCTGCCGCGGCCCGCGGCCGAGGCGGCGTCGCGCCTGGCGACGCGCCGCCCCCTGTTGCCGCCACCGCCTCCAGGGCCGCTTCGCCCGCCGGCGCGGTCGGCTTCGCGGTTGACGCGGCGGCTGCGGCTGCCGCCTGTGCCGATGCCGCCGCGGTCGCGGCTCGCGCGGCACTCTGGATGGCTGCGGGCATGCTGGCGCAGGCCGCTGCCCTCGCGGCTGGCGCCACGATGGCCGGGGGACCTCCGGCGCAGGATCTGGCACTTCGCAGCGTCCCCGGACGGCGGAACCAGCGGAAGAAAGCGGAACGGGCGGAAGCTGCGGAGGCTGCGGAAGCTGAAGGGACTGGGGGTGACAGTCAGGAAGAGGTACCCCTGCACCCTTGCATCCCTGTGTCCTTTGGCGGACAAGGCACCCTTGCTTCCCCGTGTCCGGGTCCTGACGCCCTCGCGGGCACCCCTCCGTTGACCCAAAAGCATCCTCACCATCCCGCTGGCGACGCTGACCTTCGTGCCCTCCGATGTCCGAGTCCCGATGCCCTACCTGGCAACCCTGGCGGCCAGCAGACCTTTCCAAGCGAAGCAGGACCCGTTAGGCCAGCAGGGATAACCACGGTTGCGTCATCGGATTCACAAGATGAAGTAGGGCCCGTTAGCCCAGAAGGGAACGTGGTTTCGGTCTTATCGGTCTTCCAATTTGAAATAGGCCCCTTTAGGGCAGAAGGAAGTGGTGATGTCTCGAGCCCTTCCTTTTCACTGGCAGCCAGTCACACTTGTGCTCCCCCTCTCCCACAGGCGACCGAGGCATCCCTACCCTCCGACGTCCGAGTCCTTGCGCCCTACCGGGCACCCCTGGCGGCCAGCAGACCTCGCAAGAGAAGAGACAAGGCCGGTTAGGCCTGAAGGGGGCGGATCCCAAGGAGGAGGAGGGCCCGTCAGGCCAGAAGGGAACGGGGTTGACAGTCAAGAAGAGGTGCCCTTGCACCCTTGCGTCCCTGTGTCCTTTGGCGAAGAAGGCACCCTTGCATCCCCGGACGTTCCTCACGGTTTTGACAGTCTGGAAGACGTTCTGTTGCACCTTGGCATCCCTGTGTCCCTTGGCGAACAAGGCACCCTTACTTCCCCTTGTCCAGGCCCGGACGCCCTCGCGGACACCCCTGGCGGCCAGCAGACCTCTCAAAGAGAAGCTGGGCCCGTTAGTCCAGAAGGGAACGCAGCGGTTGTGTCATCGGACCCACAAGGAGAAGCAGGGGCAGGGCCCGTTAGGCCAGTAGGGAACGAAGCTGTTGTGACCTCGGACTCACGAGGAGAACCTGGGCCCGCTAGACCAGAAAAGGGAACGGAGACGTTCGTCGCGATTCGGACGAAGAGGTGCCCTTGCACCCTTGCCTCCTTGTGTCCTTTGGCGAGCAAGGCACCCTTGCATCCCAGTGTCCGAGCCAGCAGACCTCTTCTAGAGAAGCTGGGCCCGTTAGGAACAACGGACCAGCCTTGCAGAGGCAGGACAACGACGCCATCCGCAGAAACCAGTTTGTCGACAGAAACCTTCGCGCCCATTCGCCCTCCTTCCTCTGGCAGCGAGTCTGCCCGAGCGGATAGCGAGCCGCAGCCACTCCCTCTCGAAGCCGGGGCGTCGTCGGGGATGGCGATGGACGCCCCGAAAGGCCTGGTGCCTGACAACGCGCTTGCGCCCAGAGCGACCCGCATCATCCCCGCAGCGTGGAGGCCAACCGCACGGCCCGCCCCGACCCGCATGGCCTCGCCAGGCGTTCCCCGCCGAGCAGCCGCCGTGCCGCGCGAAACCATAGGCGACTCCGGCGGCGGGCCCAACCAGGCGGTGCTGTCACAGAGTAGCAGGCGAGAGCAGCATGCGGAGCAGGAGCCTGATGAGCCCGACGAGAAGGATGCGCCTGCCGCCCGCGGGGAGGGCACGGAAGCGGCCGGCACAGGAATTGGAGCAGGGGCGCGAATTGGCAACCACCTACTGCCACTCCCGTGGCCGGCTCTCAGCACCCTGGCCGTTCCTTCCTTGGCAGCGGCGCGAGCTCGAGCACCGAAGAACGGCGACGGCCAGGCCGCAACGGTCCTCCAGCGCGTTCGCCTGGCAACGGGTGGAGTCCCGGCCTGGCCCTGGCGACTGGCGGCTTCCTAGTTTCCCTGCCGCCCCTGGGTCGAAACCCGGCCCCTGGCGACGCCGACGCCGCGGACGCAGCAGTAGCAGCAGCGGCAGCAGCAGCAGCAGCAGCAGCAGCAGCAGCCGCCGCTCCAAGGACCTGCCGCCGACTACCCCGCCTCGGGAAGCGAGGCCCGCCGCGCGCCAAGGGCCCGAACCCGTAAACTCCGACACGGGACAGCAGCTGTGTAGAACCAAGATCAGCTGCATCCAGTGGGGTCTCCCAGGGGAGACCCCCGGCGAGACGATAAAGCGGCTCCAAGCCACCCTGGGTGCGATGTTCACAGGCGCCTGGCACGCGTTCGCCAAGCAGCACAGCAAGGGTGCATTCGACCCGCGACGACACGAACAGCAAACCTGCGTCAGCTTCCTGCGCTCCTTCCGCAAGCGCATCTGCGATGTGAGAGCCATGAGCGACGCGCTGAACCTCGGCGTCTTTGGGTTCAGTTGCAGCAGCGATTCCCGAACCGCAGAGACGGCGCGGGCAAGGGGTGCCAGGTGCCCCCCTGCAGCGAGGCGCGAGGAACGGACCAGAAGAGACAGCCGTCAGCCACAGCGCAGGCAGCGACAGCGGATCTTGTCGCCCACCCCCCCCGACCGACTGACGGCGCGGCGTGACGACAGCCCGCGCCGACGGACGTGGAAGGCTTGCCCCCTGTCCGCCCTGTTTCGGACGAGGCTAACAGCCGAGGCCCAGGCGGAGCAGCCGCGCGCGACACAAGACACCATGCCGCCGATTCCTGACTGCCCCCGCCCGCTCCCCCCCCTCCTGCGGCCCTCTGCTCCCCCCCCCGTGCCCTGGTTGCCGGCAGGGCCCGTTTGGCCGTAAGGAAGCGGGGGGATTGCCTCGCCCCTCCCTCTTGCAGGCACGCGGGGCACCTTCTGCGTCCGACGTCGAGCCCACGCGTCCACACGGACAACCCTGGCGGGCATCAGTGCTCACCGGAGGTAGCAGAGCCCGTCAGGTTTGGAGGAAGGGGGACGACAGCCTCATTTGTTTCAACAAGAGGAACAGGGCCCGTTGCCCGTAGGAAGCGGAGTGAGGGGCTTCCCCTTCCCCTCCCAGGCGAACGAGGCACCCATGGCATCCGACCTCCGCGTTCTGGCGCCCAAGGGTGCACCCCTGGCGGCCGGCAGGTCTTGCAAGCACCCGACGCCCAAGTCCTGGCGTCCTTGCGGGCGACCCTGGTGGCCATCAGGCCCCCCACGGGGAGGCAGGGCCCGTGGGGCCAGAAAGGGGTGGGTACACCGCGCCCCCGGTCCCACCAAGTGGAACTGGGCCCGTTTGGCCGGCAGGCAGGGTGCGACTGGCCCTCCCCGCCCTCCCGCAGGCGATCGAGGCACCCTTGGTTTCCGCAGTCCGTACCCTGGCGCCCCCACGGGCAACCCTGGTGGCCAGCAAACCTCTCAAGGAGAGCCAGGGCCCGTCCGGCCAGAGGGGGGCGGAGGTTCGGCCCGAGGGTCCCCACCTAATTAAGCAGGGCCCGTTAGGCCAGAAACGGGCTGCGCCACGGCGTCAGGATTGCCGCCTTCCCCGGCGCCTCCCTGCATCGCGGCGCGTGGAACGGGCCGGACGCAGCCGCTGTCCGCCACGGCGCAGGCTCGACAGCTGGCCCCGCCGCCCCCCACCCCCTCGGCCGATCGCCGTGTTTTCCTTCCCGCGCAAATCGCGGTTAAACGCTCTTGGCGCGTCTCTCCCCCGCGCCCCCAGGCGCCCTCCCGTGCCGGGGTGGCCCCCCCGCGGCTGGGCTCCCGGTTCCCTCGCCAGCTCGGTGGTGCCATTCCCCGCCGGTCTTGGCTTCTCTTTTCCGCGCAAGTCGCGGTTCGCCTCCCTCTCGGGTGAGGGCTATTGGCGCCTGTGGTTCATCCTAGGCACCTTCGTGGCTCCCCTGCGCCGCGGCCGCGACCTCGGCTGCTGTGCCGGTGTTCACCCCCGCGCCGTCCGTCCGCGTTTGTCGCCATCCCTGGTGTGCCGACCGCGGATCGCGCTCTTGGCCGCGCTGCAGCTTGGCTGCTCTTCGCAATTGTGCATTCTGCTGCTGTGGGACCTCCTGGCCCCGGCCACCCTGGTACTTCACAGCCTGCCAACGCTTGCGTCCCCTCTGGGCACCCAATTCGACCTCCGACAGTCGGTTCACTTGGCTGCGGCCACCCTGGTACCTTCGCTGTTGTCAAGGGGCTTGCGCCCTTGCATCTAATTCCACGTCTGCTGCTGCCCCTGGTCGACGGTCCCCCCGACTACCTGCAGCTTCCTACGCGTTGCATACGTGCACCCTGGCAGTATTGTTTTTTTTTTCCAGCTTACAGCCAGCCCCTTCCACTCGCGGGTTCGCCGCCGAGATGCTGCGCGAGGCTCTCTCCGCCGCTTTAGGTGTGTCTGCGCCCCGTCGTTTTAGGCTAAGTCGTCGTTGCGTGCCCCGCTTCTACTGGACACGCCGCTGGCGCGCTCGCCTGCGGCCGCTGACTAAAAAACGTACCCCCACAAGCCAGGCTCTCGCCTCCATGGACACGGTCTCCGTTGACGCGGGCTGCATCTGGGCCCCCCGCCAGCTGGCGCACGATCGCGGCTCGGCATTTGTTTTTGACGAGCTCGAGGCCATCGACGTCTGACGGCTGGCGTGGCTCTTGAGTACCCGATCGCCATTTCGTTGCAAGTACTCGGTGTACAACGTGGCCCCGGTGGTCACCTACCCGGTCCTTCGCCTCTGAGATGCGCCGCGTGTGTTTGTCTTTCTGGCTCCTTTTGTCGTTATTCCGCCTTCTTCGCTTTCTTGTTATAGTTTTTCTTCTTCGTTCGTGTCGCTCTCTCCTGCTTCGCCTCGTTTTCGTCGCTCTTGCGCCGCCTCTGCGCAGTGGCCCTGCACATGTTCCGCTGCTTTGCACTTGCACGGCTTCGCGCTTCGCTTGACCTTTCGACGCCGCGCGGGTGCCCGCTCGCAGTCGCGATCAAACAAATATCTCCACAAGCCCATCCAAAAACAATCGCCAGGCGAATTGCCTTGATGGCGGGTGTGGAGGTGGGGATGGAAAAGCGGGGTTGGACGGGGGTTTGCTGGAGGCCTTGCGGGCCCTTCTGAAGCCATCTCGAAAGCCATCGATCGAGAAAAGGAGGCGGCGTAAACTACGCACTCCCTCCGTCGGGGCCCGACAATTGACTTTTGCAGGCCACCTGTTCGCGCGCTCTTGGGTTTTTAAGGGGGGTTCGATGCGCCGTCTAGGCGCGGCATCTTCCTGTCCTGTCCACGTGAACCTGCATGCACTCGCGATCTGAGCGTCCGGAAGGACGCGTGTGCAGAAGGGCGCGCAATTCGTAACTCTTCGAGCAATAGAGAGATATCGTCGCTCATGTGGAGCCCTCGAAGACGACCTGAGCAAGAAGGCCAAGGACACGGACATGTTGTGCCGCATGTTTTGGTTTCGCATCGCGTTCGCCGAGCGCCCTCATTCTTCGATCCTTGATCATCAGAACACATCACCACCATCATCACCATCGTCACCACCAACACCACCAGCATCATCATTTCCACCATCATCATCACCACCATCAGCACCACCATCAGCACCACCACTACCATCATCATCGCCACAATCACCACCCGCATCTTCATCATTACCATCATCATCGCCACCATCACCACCACCACCATCACCACCGTCACCAGCATCATCAGCATTATTTGCAAGTTCAGTATCATGTTATCATCATCGTCGGCATAAACATCATCATCCTCATCATCACCATCATGAACATCATCATCATCATCATCATCTTCATCATCATCATCATCATCATCCTCATTTCTTGCCCTCGTCCCCCTCTCCCGCCCTCCCCGCGTTTTCTGCCCGCTCTTCGTCATCCCTCCCGCTTTCCGCCCCCGTCCCTACCCGAGTCCGCCCCCGCACCGTGCTTGAGTTCCTCCGCCTGTCCTCTCCGTAGCCCGCTCCTTAGAACTCCGGCGTCTGGAGGTAATCCACATCGGAGATTTTTCATTGTTTTCGGCCTCTCGTGGTCCTGAACGGGTCTCGGGACCGTCGGAAACAAAACGCGGTTCGGGGTGGAAAATCGGTCCTGGGGAAGTGGTCGCGAGGTCGGCACCCCGTGTCTTGAAAAAATCGAGACGCCGGATGTCTGGGTCCGTTGCCGCGCCCCCCCCGTGCCCAGTCCCATGCAGTTTTTCGATCAGCGCCACTGGAATGGTTCGATTCCTATGCGTGCGTGCTGCGGCATCGCGCAGGCACGCGGCAGCGCGCAGGAAAGCTCAGGAAAGCGTAGTCCCCCCCTTGCTCGTGCGGGGCTAGGGCGAGGACAAGTCCCTTCTAGAGCGTTCCGGAACGTTCTGAGAAGGCCGCGCCGACGACCGAGACATGCTCCAAAGCCGCCGGCTCGATTCATCCTCCCCCGATTTTACCCTCGTCCCGGCTTCGTTTTGTTAACCGCGGTAAGTCTTCAGAGCCTTTTCAACTTCTCGGCGGCCATATTCACGGACTGGTGTCCCACCAATAAGGGGTAACTCTTTTCTTTTCCCCCGCGGCACCCGCCGCGCAGCAACGCGGAGGAGAGGGAGGAGGGGGATCGGCAGGAGAAGGAGGAGGGGGGGCGGGGGGAGGAGGAGGAAGTGGTCTCAGGACCCGCCCTATCCACCGCCGAGAAAACAGGGGGGGGTGGGGGCGGGGTTCAAAACGGAAGACTTCCCTAGGTTACCCCTCTCCCCCCACCCCTTGCCCAGTCGCAGCTCCTGGAGCAGCGCAAGCGGGAGGAGGACGAGGAGGGGGAGGAGGAGGAGGAGGAGGAGGAGGAGGAGGAGGAGGAGGAGGAACAGGAGGAGGAGGAGGAGGAGGAGGAGTAGGAGGAGGAGGAGAAGGAGGGGAGGGGGAGGAGGACAGACAGACACCTATCGGGGCCAACACCCATTTCAACGTGAAAAACGAGCCCTAGGACCGACTTAGCAGCCGCGAAGTTCAGGCCAACAGCCTACCCACTGTTTGCAGGGCCAAGCGACCCCAAACATCACTTGCACTACCCATGGAAACATTAACCTCTGGCAGCAGCATCAGCGACAGAGTTGCCGAATCCACTACCGCGAAACTCTCTGACCCACATTCCGTGGTCTCTTGAGCGGGGGAGGACCAGGAGACGAGGGAGGCTCGAGGCGAGCGGGAAGGGGAGGAGAGCTACCCACAGACATTCTCGACACGGCGGCAGCAGCGGCAGAAGGCCTCGAGCACCTCGCACCCGTGGAAGACACCCTGCTGCCTCCGCCATACTCCTGTCTTTGCACCCTCATGTCAGCAGACATCGCAGTGACAGCAGCAGCACTCCTCATCTGTACCCTTCACAAGTCCATCCCGCTCTCTAACATGGACTGGAGGACTCTCTCGACATGGTTCATCGGCGCCGTGCCAATCTTCTTCACAAAGGGGAACATCGCGCTCACGGCCATCAGGGACTTCTGATTGAGGCTCTCTTTCCACTCCAGCAGCTTCTTGGAATTCGCCGCTCTGACGGCCACTCCAGCACTCTCGACGCCTTCCACGAGCCCGACCAAGGCCGCGACACTGATGCTCCCTAGCTTCTGCACGTCCTCTGCTTTGCCGCGATTGCGGAGGTCCTGCACCGCCTCGACGCAGCCCTTGACCCTCGCCCTGGACTGAGTCACGGGGGCCGCGGACTCTGGGCCGATCAACGTGATGAGGGTGATCGACTCCTGCTGCCTCTGCCTCATCGTGACATTCAGCAGGAGCTTTATCATGACCGGCACAGTCTTGCGGATGTGGTCTGGCTCGAAGTTCTCCAGCTCCTCTAGCTCTGATTGCTAGATTTTTTTCTGGCTCGACTCCTGCGCGGCCCTCTGCTTTTGTCGGCCGCCGTCGCTTCCTGGGCCGCCTCGCTTGGCCCAGCCCTCGACGCAGGGCCTCCGCTCGCGGCGGACGAAGCCGCTGCAGGGTCGTGCGTCAACATGCAACACAAACTCTGGAAGTGGCACAGGTAAGTGTACAGCAAGGTGTCTGTGCAACAGCTCGAGAGAGAGGCAAAAGGCTCTGACGTTCAGGACATACACGCACTTCTGGGTCAACAATGAGCGGATCACACTTAGAACTGTCCACTCTACATCTTCCATTTCGATAAGCATTGACAAGATGGCGCACAGCCGTGTCACGGCAGCGAAACGTACTGGAGCATGCACTGCATTGATTCGTGGTTGTGAGTTTCGCAACAACAGACAAGATCCCGTGCTGACCTCCACAGGCCTGTCTCTGATGCACAAGCAGCGTACGACGCGTGCGAAATCTACGACCACACACCAGCCCATCAGCATCTAGAAGCTCACATTCGAACTCTCCCTCCGCAATCTCCTCGCGCTCCGCGACAGGGGTTTCCTGAGGTACTGACCTAAACATCCACTCGGCTCTAAACTGCTGCATGTCTAACTTCTGGAACGCCTCGAAGCCCATAGTGTTCCCCCTGAAGATGCCCGTGCAGCCCCCCTCCAGAAGCTCCAAGACCTGTCTCCCCTCCTCAGTCTGCTGCATCGATTCGACGTCCTCGAACAACTGACGGGCCCACGGGTTCGTCCGAGCAGTCCTCCTAGGACACATCATAGAGCTAGGGAACCAGGAACGACTCGACTGAACCTCCGACTCACACTCGAGCTCCCCGAACACCGCCGCGAGCTGTTGTTCATGGTACCCAGGGGACCGAGCGATGTTCTGCCATTATTTCAGTCTCCCCACGCGTAGTTCCAAGGACAACGGAATTATGCCAGCACTATTCCAAATCTGTACAGCTGGAGGTGTGCGGAACATAACGATCTCGCGCCCGTCGTCCGCAACAGCTGGGATCTTCTTAGCCACGCCACCTAGCAGCACTTTGAGGTACTTGAGGCACACGGATTCCAGACGAGCCACCTGAGACTGACCCAAGACCAACGCCGTAAGGCCCGAAAAGGCCGCACCCACAATATTACTGCGGAAAGCCATCTTCTTGGCCGTCCACTACGTACACTGGGTCCAGAAGCGTCTCATATGAGCCCACCCTCTAGTCATAGCAGCACACCGCGCCTCAACTTCAGCAGACCAGGACCCACTCGCAGTAAATAGCGTCCCCAGGAACGGCACCACAGGAAGAACAACCCCAGGAAGACTTTCACTCTGGGCAGCCTGGAATGCCACACGCGTGAATCTGGTGGCCCCTACCCCCACAAAGTGCGGCACCACAGTCTTCTTACCCTGGCTCTGATAGATCCCGTGTTGCTGGATACGACGATCAAGACATGCATCTGAAGCACGGATGATGGCCACCGCCTCATCGAAGTCTCGGACAACGTGCGTTTTGTTCACATCATCCGCAAAGACCCGCAACGACAAGTCACACTTCCTCGGCGAGGACCGTCGAGCAGCATCCTCGACCATCGGGCGAGCAATCACACGCACGAGAGACCGAGACATGCGCACAGGGGAATGGACGTCCCAGCCACGGCGAGCTTTGGGGGGTGCCGCAATCCCTTGGGCGTTTGGGGGTGTCGTCCAGATCACGTCGGGCTTGAGAGGAGGAAAAGGTACCCATACTGCTACCCATCCCTCATTTTCCCCCTTTGTGGGCCCTCCTGGAAGGCCCTTGTCGCCACCGCTGGATTCGCCTCGAAATCCTGGTCAGAACGCACCCTGGGAGAGGTCTGGGGAGTAGAGGTAATGTTACCTGTTGGGTTCCCCAGGACTTGGTCGGCAAATTCAGGCGATATGTATGGACGACATCTGGACGAAAGGGTGAATACTCAGACCCCCGACGTCGCAGTTCTTCATGACGTGATCCGCAGGAGCCTGGACACCTTCCCCGGGACCGGTTTCTCATCCTGAGTCGTTTTTTGACAGCCCCGAGGCCGGGCGAGGGCCCCCGGAGGCCAGAAATAGCGAGCACCCCCCGTCCCGATTTTTTCTCACAGCGCGAGGGGGTTTGTGTGAAGAGGTGCGGTCGAACTCTGCTGGACGACATTTCCAGACGATATCACGTCTGTGACGGGGCCGCGGGGGTCCCACAGAGGCTCTCTCTCTCTCTCTCTCTCTCTGCAGGCTCACCGAGCGCCCCGAGCCTGGGCCTCCTCCTCCACCTCCTCCTCCTCCTGCTCCCCCTCTACTCCTCCTCCTCCTCCTCCTCCTTCTCCTTCTCCTCCCCCTCCTCCTCCTCCTCCTCCTCCTCCTCCTCCTACTACTCGCCTTTCTCCTCCTTCCTCCTACTCGCCTTTCTCCTCCTCCCCCTGACGCTCCTCCTCCCACCCCTCCTACTGAAATCACGTCTGTGATGGGGCTGCGGGGGTCCTACAAGCTCCTATATGCAGGCTCACCCAGCGAACCCAGAGCCTGGGCCCACCGAGCGCACGCCGTCGTCGCCGTCGTCGTCGTCGCCGCCGTCGTCGTCGTCGTCGTCGTAGTCGCCGCCGTCGTCGTCGTCGTCGTCAGTGTCGTCGTCGTCAGTGTCGTCGTCGTCGTCGTTGTCGTCGTCGTCGTGGTGGTGGTGGTGGTGGTGGTGGTCGTCGTCGTCGTCGACATCGTCGTCGTGGTGGCCGTCGTCGTCGTCGTCGTGGTGGCTGTCAGCGCCGACCTCGACGCTGACGGCGGGAGGGGTGGCGGGGCACAGGTCCGCCGGCGTGGGGCGCACCGCCCGCACAGCAGGCCGGCGGTGGGACGGGCAAGGGCTCCCGAGCTAAATCGACCCCCGCTTTGGAGCCGTCGGGAGGTCTGAGTCGCAGGGGAAACAACGGCATAAGCAAAAACTTTTGGCGCTCCGCACCGACTTCTTGGATCGGCGCCTGGGCCCCCTCGCGTGGTGAAGAAGCCACGGCGGGAGGTTTGTCGCCAGTTTCGGCCTCCGGGGGCCCTCACTGGGCCTCGGGGGGATGAAAAACCGGCCCCCGGGAAGGGGTCCAGACCTTTGGGGGTCGATTTGGTGAACAACATCATGACGTAGGGGGTGTAGGGAGGTTGCCCAGCACTGGCTCCGGTCAGTAGCGGACAGGTTCGCGGTTTCGGGTTTGATTTTTCCCGATACTTCTCAGCCTACTGGGGGCCGTTTGCGGGCCCCGGGATCGTGAAGGATTGGCTTCGTTCGAAAAGCTGCACCACATGGACTCCGGGAGGGGTTTGGGGGTAGATTTTTAGGCGGTTTCTTGGTCTGGGGACAGATTTTCTGCGGGGTTCCAGCCGGTTTAGATCCCCCTGCCAGCTCCAAAGGGCTTGCAAGTTCAATTTGCCCCCACTTCCTTCTTTCGTTCCGAAAGGGTCACGACAGGAGGTTTTCGGCCACCAGGCCGTCCCTGAGACCCGACGTAGCAAGAAAAGTGCAACATCGCGGAAAGTCACACCCGGAGCCCTAGACCCAATTTTTCTGAGCCGTTCTCCCACGAGGGCGATCTGTGAGGGTCCCAGGGCCCGAAATTTTTCGAAAACGCCCGGATCGCAAAGATTGCGACGCCAGGATCCCAGGGGTTGAGAAACGACTCGGGATGAGAAATTGGCTCGATGCGGAGCTCGACTTTCTCCATGACGACGGCACCAATGCATCGCCGACATCGCCCGTGCATCGCCAACTCCTCGCCGATGCATCGGCGATGCATCGGCGATGCCTCGCGATCCTCCGAGCCCATTTACTCGGATCCCATCGAGGACTGGGTCGGGCGCGTCCCCCTACAGGCGGACTTTGGACGAAAAGTAAAAGATAGCCAACAAATTTTCGACCATAGTCAAAACATCGTTCCCAGATTATCTTTTGACTACTTTTGCATCTTCCTCCTGTAGAGAGACAGGCCCGACTGAAATCCAGGAGGCCTCTGGCCTCGAGAAGTGTTCTAGACCTCCGGGCTCCACGGTGTGACAGAGCGCGACGTCGGTGCACTCTGTTCGAGGCCACACCTCGGGTCACTCTGGCGGCCGCTCGGCGCGATCCAGCAAAACCTTCCGGGAATTCTCTCGGCGAGGCGCAGCTGCGGGAGAGCATCCCCAGACATCCGGCTGCTCTCAGGTTTTCGGTGCGTGAGCCCCAGAGGTCTGGACCCATTCTTGTGTTGCATCTTCGGGGGACCTCTCCTGTCCGTCAAGATTGGTGCCTTTTCTCGGGCCCGACGCGGGCTCGATGCGGACTCGACGCGGATTTGGCGTGGATTCGACGCGGATTCGACACGGATCCGACCAGTCCGACATGGACAGGGCCGCCTACTATCCGATTCGATGCGACTGGATTCGCCAGCCAGGGCCGCGATTCCGATTCGATTCGATTCGATTCGATTCGGCTCGATTCACCGACCCAACGCCAGCCAGAGCCAGGCGCTCCGATCTCGATTCGATTCGGGACGATCCGCTTGCGATGCGACCCGTTTCCGATCAGATCCGGCTTAGCGATTCGATCCAGCGCAGGCCTGCATGGATTCGCCAAGGTTTCGACACGAATAGGGCCGCGACGGGAC